GATTGCGTTTGTTGTTGTAGTAGGAAGTTTGATAGTGAGTGGTCGGAAGTTGTAATTACTTATGAGTTCTGCTTTTTTTGCAAAACGAAAAACTGGTATGAATATGTTCCCAAAATACAAGTTCTTTGACTAGAATTTTTGGAAATTTTGTTTTGATTTTTCCAAAAAATACTAGTATAATTCTAGTCTATAGCGAACTAGTATATTTTTGTCCTTTAAATACTATTTACAACTAACTAGTATGATCTCGTCTTTAAAATACTAGTATTTAACTAGAACTTTTGCATACTTATCTACCTAAGCTTCTGCCGTGAAGCGAACATTTCTACTTCACCAACAATAAAAAAAAATAACACAAAAAATTAATTTGCTCGCAGTGACACTCTAACCGTGAATCTCACACGAGTTACAGTGATAAATTTTAACCACTCGGTTATCTTGATCGCCTGATGAGCAACGTTAGTTTGCGTACATTCTCAACAGAGCATAACAGCGTATGTGACTAAGGCGTGGTGAGTTGAGATATAACAACGGTACGGTGGTGGAAATCATGATTTATCCCGTTACTGGTGAAGTGTTGTACAAATAGGCAACTGGTATGATCTCAACTTCAAAATACTAGTATTTAAGTGGACTTGTTGCATACTAGTCTACATTCTCCCTGCAAGAAAGTTTTCTATACCTTTTTTTTAGCATATTTTTCCAACAAAAAAAGAAAGAAAGTAGACTGTTTGTGTGACTAAAAAGAGTACCAAAAAATAATCCTATATATTTTCTATACTTTACTGGTCATTAAAAGGGAATAAAAAAAAAAACTTAACCAAGAATTCATGAAAAAATTTCAAACGGCTTTTTCTTCTTGCAGTGTTTCTTTAAGGGGGAAGCTGGTCTAGAGCGCAAAAAATGGGCATCATTTATGAATTTATTTTGATTCAAAAAATAAATCAATCCAAAATCTGTGAAATAGGTTTAATAATATAAGTTTCATGGTACAAACACAAAATTTTTGTGTGAATTAATTTCAAAATGGTCGCTGTCCAGCATTTCTGCGAAGACACATTTTTTTCTAATGGTTACATGGCCGAAGATGTTAACTCCTTAATTTTTGTCCTGGATCAAAAAATCAAATTTTTTAGTTTCTATATAACAACAGCAAGAGACGTACGTAGAATTCTTTCGATATTTTTTTTTTTCGCGAAATGTTGCTCGTTTGAAAAAAAAAGTTACAATTCTCACTATAAAAAACGATATAAAATTTCTACGTACGTCTTCGGAGAACGGTATATCGAATGTAATGTCAAAATTTCGTAAGAATCGGTGAAGATTTGTTCGATTTGTTCGGGGCATACCTGCGAGGCACTGCCGTCAAATGAAAAAATTTGGGCATTTAGACATTTTTGCCGGCATCCATCTTTTGGTGTGTTATTTCTTTAGGGTCTTAGAGCACCTTTTAAGAAAAATTTTTTTTTTTTCGATTTTTTTCAAAATTCTAGACCAGCTTCCCCCCTTTAATTGTTGTATAACTCTCAATACCTTACACAAATATATCCTTCCTATGCCTTCCAATTCTCGTTTTTCTTTTATATTCTCATTTATCAAACATCTTTAGAGTATATACTTTATTATATTAGTTTACAATTCTATAAAATAAAAATTGCAAATTAATATTTTTTTTTAGCTATTAGCAGGATTTTGTCCCAATTTTTTTTTTACCTCTGACTTAACGAGTTTTTTATTAATTATAATTAGGTTTTTTTTAAATGGGTATTTACAATAAATTCATCTTAGTTCTATAACAGAAATATTTCACTAACCTAGTTTTTATTCGAATGAGCTGTCAACTGTCAATATTTCTGCTAAAAGGATAACTAAAGGAAAATGAAGATTGAGGCCAAGAATTTTGACTTGCTTTAAAATTGTAAATTTTCAATTTAAATGACAAAACGAAATTAGGCTTTTTAAGAGAATTATGCTTGCGAAAAACAACTTTTCTGGCAGTAAATCAAAAATGTACTGATTATGCATGAGAGAGAAATTCAGTGTTCTGTGGAGTTTTATTGCATGGAATATAGTTTAGAAATTGATGCACGATTCACGTTCGGCTGAATTGCATAACCTCTGCGCTTGCAGTGGTTCAACAAAGAAATAGAAGCCGTAAAGTCGAATTTAAGCATGTCGTGGTACTTTAAGATCAACCAACATCAAGTTTCGAGGCTTTTTCTACGCCAACAAGTCCAAGTCCGCAGCAATGGTTTTCGTACTCAGCAAGGCAGGGTGTAGTAAAAAAGGGATGTTTCCAACACAAATTATTGAAAGGTGTCATAGTGAAAGTACAATGCTGGAACTATAGAAAGCTGTTCAAATGATGCAGTTGAATTTATCGGTTCCACGCTGAATATAAGTAAAAAATTAAGGCTTCGTACATGCGATTGTGTAAGCAGTCCCATCAACTTTTTATGTAATTCAGTGAAATATACTTCCAGGATCTCTTTTATTCCTTCAGTGAACTCAGTTTTAATTGATTATTGCCTTATGGACTCGTAAACTTTGGTAGCTAATTATGCTGAAACATTTTCTGTAAAATTTTTTTAGGTGAGCGAGTATGGCGACCAAGTTAACGACGCCATGTTTTGGCCTTCAATCCAGCGGTCCTATAATATGCACATTATTCTGCTGGATTTTCCATTTCTACAGCCATAAAATTGCCTGGATTACAGCGAAAATCGTTTTCAGTATGCCTGTTTTTAAACTATGACACTCAAACGACTATTTAGAACTTGAATTGAGGTTCTATAGAGACAAGGTTCTTGAGCGCTCTCTAGACTATACCACCACAAGTACAGCTATACAGTGACCAAAGTGTGCTCTTACTGTTTCAGTTTTTCCTCTTAACAAAATCGACTCATTTCTGATCACTTACAGCAAACGTCAAAGGGACACGGTTGTGGCCGAAGTGCAGTGAGACGTCACAAACTAAACCTAAAACTATATTGCCAGCAAGTGAAACGTCTGAAGATAGCAAAGTCGCAGAAGCGTATAGCTCAATAGGAGGTGAATTGAGTTTCATCAGGACAACGCCTTTGAACTTGAGTAGTTCTAACGCACCTTATATCTCGGACCTCGCATCAAATGATTACTATCTGTTTCTTTTTAGAGCGAATGATTTGGCTACTAAAGTGATGACCTAAACAGAAATCAGTGAAAATCAATTGTGCCAATTTTTTGCCATTAAGGAAAAGTGTTTATATGAGAGAACCTTGGAAATGGCAAAAAGTTATCGGGAAAAACTATGCATATCTGGCATAAAAGGCATAACTTCAACGGAACTCTGAGCTATTTGCCCTTAAAATATTTGTCAGCTGTTGGGTAGTACAACCAACTTAAAGTCCAGCAAAGAAACGATATGAAAACGGGATTCAAATTAAGAAAAATTTTGACACGTTTATAACAAGACAGCATCGTATAAATACATTTTTCGTTAATCGAAAAATTATCAAAATAAATTTCTCTTCATTTTTAGCCAATAGGAAATTCAACCGTTAATGTTAAACCGCTAACAGGCAATGTTAAATCGTTAACACATAATGTAAAATCCTTAGCAGGTAATAGTAAATCGCTAACATATAATGTTAAGTCGCTAACAGGCAATGTTAAATCGTTAAAAGGTAATGTTAAACCATTAACAGGTATTGTTAAATCGTTAACAGGCAATGCCAAATAATTAACACATTATGATAAATGTTAAAAGATAATGTTAAATCGCGAACAGACAATGCCAAATCATTAACACATTATGTTAAATGTTAACAGATAATGTTAAATCGCGAACAGACAATGCCAAATCATTAACACATTATGTTAAATGTTAACAGATAATGTTAAATCGCGAACAGACAATGTTAAATCGTTAACACATAATATTAAATGTTAACAGATAATCTTAAGTCGCTAACAACTGATGTTAAATGTTATTAGATAATGTTAAATGTTAACAGATAATATTAAGTCGCTAACAGGTAATGTTAACACATTATGTTAAATGTTAACAGATAATGTTAAATCGCGAATAGGCTAGGCTGAGTCGTTAACACATAATATTAAATTGTGATCTGATAATGTGAAACATTGAAATTGAAGTGTGCTGTTAATATCAAAGCTGGCAGCCTTTTTAAGATTAACGTTAACAATGAGTTTGTGCAGTTTCAGTGTGTTTTATAACAAATTTAAAATTTACCATTTACCAAAAATGTGGTTTTGTCTAAAATGAGCACTGCTGACGGTAATTTTCTGTTTAATTGAATTTTTACTCATAGAAAAATAATAATTTTACTTATGAAGCAAGACAATACATTGGCAGATATGTCGGTAAAATTTATGCTAAACATCTTACTGTACAGAATTTAACATTTTGCTTAATTTTTTATTTAATAGTATATATTTACTAAATAATATATATTTTTTTTAATTTTAAGCCACATAATTACTTTAAAAGTGATTATTTTTAAATTTTTAGAAAATCTTATGAAATTTTCCTTACAAATATGCTTAAACAAGCACCATACCAAATACTTACGTTCGAGTTATTTGATTAAGTGCATATTATTGTTGAGTATTTGTAATAAAAGGTCTTCTGGTAGGATAACAAGAAATGATAAGAGCTTCAATCTGAGCCTAACTATCATAAATCTAAACTTAATTCGAATTTAGTAACAAATTTTGAAGTGAGCTAATAAATACAGCTAACAAATTCATTTCAAGCTTACTTATACGTGGCACGCCACGTAGCGTCGTTTGCATATACATACATACCTTTGAATACAGCATTATTTTTGTATGAAAGTTCTCAACTCAGTTGGGTCCAATTTGCATTATTTGCATTAACAAATTTTCTTCTAGATTTCTATTATTCTTACCATATTTACAACTATGCTTAGCCTAAGGTGTTTTCGCCTAAATGCTATCTATATATTATATATATGTGTGTATGTGTGTGTGTTTGAGTACGAGTATGTATGTAAGTATGTATGTATGTATACATACATTCCTTAGAAATAATATTGTATGGCCTAAAGAAAGTTCCACGAAATCGATTGTAGTGAGACAACGCTGTGTCGCAACTAACAGGCATTCAAGTGATTCGCGCCTAAAACAACTCCCGACGACATGTAGCTCCCCACACCGCCACCACCACCGCTATTGCCTACAATATGATGATGATGGTGATTGCCCTGTTGTTGCTGACGCTGAAGCTGATGCTGAATCTGATGCTGGTGCTGTTGCTGATGTTGGAGCCGCAATTGCTGATGCTGTTGATGCGCATGGTGATTGTGGTTGTTCGCTGTCACTGCCGCCGAGTCCACCGTTGTCGCAACGGTCACCGTTGCTGAGCCAAGGACATCATTGCTCGTTGCTTTTGTGGTTGCTGAGGTCAAATTCACCAAGCCATTGCTTTCCGCAACAGTCATACCGGCACCTACAGCCACACTTACACCCACACCCACACCACTACCAGTTAGATTGGCGTTGACTTCACTCTTCTTCAGCGTATTGGTAGCGGATGTCATTGTGGCTGTGCTGACGCCCCCACTTACACCACCACCCTTACTGTCAGGGCCATTGCTATTTCCGCCACCGCCAGGACCACCATTGCCTAGTGGCGTTGTTGCCGTTGTGGCTGTGGCGCTCGTGCTGAGACTGGTGCCGCTGATGTGTGCGCTTATGCCGCTTGGCACACTCGAAATGGTCGTTGTTACGCCACCGGCGACAGAGGCGCGCACCAACTCCTCGTTGGGTATGGAGAAGTGTCGATATGAAATGTATTCGGGTGGCATGGCAGCTTGCCGTTTAGCATTCTCGATGCGCTGCTTCTTCAATTTCACATAACTCAACACGGAAATCATGACAATGAACACAATGATGCCGAGGCAACAGCCCACAATCAAACCCAGGCGCCGTGTCAATATGGAGTGTAAGAAGCTATTGCTGGCGAGACCATTCTCATCCGCTACGAGGCTTGGTGTTGAGTCAAGCGTTTGTACATCCGTGCAGGTGGTGATGTGCGAATTTTTCAATACGTCCCGTAGTGCATTGTCCGTCACGACGGTGTTCTCGATTAGTGCTTGTTGTTGTTGCGGTTCAGCTTGCGTAAATAATTGCTGCTGGTGGTCATTATGCTGTTGATACGTTTGAAAATATTGCTGATAATATTCCGCTTGCTGTTGTTGTTCATGTTGGTTTTGTTGCTGCTGCTGTTGTTGTTGCTGATCATAATAGAAGTGATGTTGCTGATTCCCGGTCATATAGCTGCCACCACTAACGGTGGCCTCATCGCGTAACATAAGAACAGAGTCGTTAAAGTGTATCCTTTGCAACGCATTCGCCGCAGGCTCGGACAACCAATTACCGGTGCCAATGACGCAAATGTGGTAACGCGTATTGGCGTTCAGCTTTGTTAATTTGGCCGAGTTCGCAGAGCCATTAAGACGTTTGCCACGCATCTACAGGAGTGAAAAACAGAAAAAATTATATTTGACATGGTAAATGTGACAGGTTTGTACTTAGACGGTGAAGGAAAAAAATAAAAATTAAATAAAATGAATGTTTTTCTATTCTTTTATTATTTTAACTTATTTTATTTGAATAGATTTTTTCACTTTTTTCATTTTATTTTATTTTATTTTATTTTATTTTATATTATTTTAGTTTATTATATTTTATTTTAATTTACTTTATTTAATTTTTTTTATTTTATTTTGCTTTATTTTATTTTATTTTATTTTAGATAATTACTTATTTTAAATTTATTTATTATTTATTGTTTTATTTAATTTCATTTAATTTAAGTTTATATTATTTTATTCTATTTTAGTTAACTGTAACATAAATCTCCTTTAAACATCAAACACTCACCTCATCATAATCAATGCCATCTGTGGTCGCATAGTAGACAATCTCATAACCCGTTAAACCCAAATGTTCACGACTTAACCATGAAACGACCACCGAATATGGTTGTATATCCTGTATGGCAATTTTCGGTATCAACGGCGCATCACAAAATTGTTGTGGTTCCATTTTAGCAAACACCTTGCCCCGCAAGTCTACAGGATGTTCGCACCTTAAGTAATTAACACTATCTCCACCACCACTTTGTGACCATTTTCGATGATCGCGCAGCCATTCCCAGAGTTTTTGTGCATCACAACTGCAATGCAGTGGATTTTCTACATTGTAAGCCAGTACAACAGCATCAATTAACGTTGTGTGTATGTAGTTTGTGTATGAAGTTGGTATTGACGTTGACATTGATGAGTTCATACAAGTAAAATGGCCAATGTCGTTGAGTTCGGGCAGCATCAGCATCAATTGGTGGCGTTGACATTTGACGCGCAGCAAGTGGTGATACAAAATAATTGCGGTAATAATAAAAGTTGTTGGTGTTTTTTTATTGGCATGTAACGAATTGTTTGGTATTATTTTCATTGCAGGTAGTGAAGCCAATTGGAAGTATACGTCAGAATTGTAGAACCAATGGAGAAAAAAGACAAAAAGAGAACAAAAGAGTTAATTTAATAAATTAGTTATTGTTTTTAAACTAAAAATATTTGAAGTAGCACAATATTAAAAATACACTATACAAATATATGAATTTATTTTACTCAGTGAAAATTTTTAGGTGGACCAAATGAGTTTGGACAACTGTAACTGTTTGCTATGCTATGAGAGTCGCTAATGCACTCTAATCGAACTAATCTGTGCTTGGTCTCTGTGCTTCCCGACGATTAATTTTAGCTGAGTGTGAGCATTAATCGATTTGGGGGTTTAATTTTAGCACTTGAATCTTAGGACTTATTATGCTAAAAGTGACATACTTCAAATCAAGGAATCAAAATTTATTTGAAGTTAAAAGAACTCCGCTCATCAGCTACATCAGAAACAACAGGTTAATGTTGACGAGAAAATATCAAAAATCTCTATAAAATTGTTTTGAATTCTCGAAGAGTTAAGTTGCGTGCTTAAGCTGATATTATAAAGAAAACAAGATAATGCCTTTTATGTTCATTTGGCTTTGAGAAAGCTTTATTTGAAGTGATTGCTACGTTTGCTCGCTATTGGCCAAAAACTAGAACATACAAGTATGTATGATTCTGAGCACTGTTTGGCCAATTTTAACAAACCGGAATTGTTGCGTTGATGGCAAACGATAAAATATGGATTCATTACTTTTCCGGAATCAAACCGATCCTCATCTGGAGAGTTAGAAATCTTAGTGACCGCGGTAGGCAAGTGGTTAGCATTACGTACTGCAAGGCCTGAGTCCGATTCCTTCTTCGAACAACATCGTAACATTATAGAGACTTAGAAGAAAATTTCAGTTGAACTTCGAATTACACCCACATCCACTGTATTTGCCAGGTTTAGTTTCCCGAGACTACTCTCTGTTCGCAGACCTCAGAGGTTTCCTTCCGAATTTCTATCGCGTAAAGGTAACATGCCTATTTTGAAGCGAAGGATAAATAGTTCTTTAAAAGTGCTATTGAAATGCTGGGGTGGCTCTGGAATGGTTGTTTGGATCTTAATGATGACTACGTTGATAAATAAAGCCAATTTGTTTTTGTTATTGCGCATAGCTATCCCCGCCTAGCAAGCTTATCGATGTCGTCGTGGTCATCTAATGAGAGATACAGGAGACACTTGAGGCGAGCTTCATCAGGTGGTTCAAGGAGAGCGGACATTACATGAGTGGGATTTAGTGGACAAGCAGAAAGTTAGTAGGTATGGAGTGGGGACAACTGGCGGCGAGTAAAGCATCCTTTAATAGTGCTCAGCAAAGATTTACCTTGACCGCCTTGCCGCATTAACTTCATCACCATCGTGTCTTAGGCTTAATAATATAATTGCACAATTTTAATTGCATAAAGATTTTAAAACTTACCTTCCAACTTGAGTGTTTTTATGTTCGTCTCTAACGGTTTGAGCGCTTCAATCGGCACCAATTCAAAGTAATTCTTTCGTAGATCAAGAACGTGTAATTTCCTCAGAAAGCGAAACGCATCAGTCGACAACACAGTCATGCGATTACCCATCAAATACAATTCCACGAGACCATGAAGGTTTCTGAATGTTTTCTTCGATATGCGATCCAATTGATTGAATGACAAGTCGAAGGTCTGCAGTTGTGCCAAATCACTACTGAATTCTTCTAGATCCTTCAGTATGTTATGCGAGATATTTAAAAACCGTAGCAATTTCAAGCCCTGCAATCGCTCTTTGGGTAACATTTCCAACTCATTAATGCTAAGATCGAGTGTTAAAAGATTTGTGAGTGTCTTAAAGGCGCCGGGTGAGATGCGTGTAATGCGATTGTTGACCAAGTGTAAATGTTGTAAAGCCTGAAATGCTTCAAAGTCTTTCGAGGTCAATATGGACAGATTGGTTTGGCAGATATAGAGTTCTTTCAAATACGGATAACGTTCCTCTTTAACGGTGTAAATTTTATTTATGGGATTACCAGTGAGATTTAGCCATGAGAGACGTGGTATAGAGATATCCGATAGCGCCGAGCTGGGTAGTTGCAAAAAACGATTACTCGACAAGTCGACACGTTGTAAATTGATTGAGTGTCTGAGAAAGTTCGCTGGCAGAGACAACAGCAAATTGCCGCTGAGATCGATACTGTCCAGTTGTGTCAAATTCACGGCATTGAAGCCACTCAGCGAAGTGATTTTGTTGTCATGCAAATTCAGTTGACGCAAATTCAACGTACCGCTGAGTTTAAAGAAATCTATGGAAGTCAACTGATTGCGTGACAGGTCCAATGTCTCCAAAGTGCTCAAATTGTAAAGCGCAATGTGTGGAAATTCCGACAGCTGATTGTGGCACAACTTCAGCTCTTTAAACACATTCAGGCCATTGAAGATGTTCCGATTCATGACCGTTATGCGATTGTCGCACATGTCGAGCTTAACGAGGTTCGTGTTTTTGGTGAAAATCTCATCGGGTATGGTGTCTAGACTACAATTGGACATCGTGAGCAGCTGTAGTGAGCGCATCTTGTCGAACATGCCAGCCGTTATGCCGCCCACACGCGTATGACTGAAGTCGTTGTGCGAGAGATAGAGACTGCGCAAGCTGGGCACATCCAATTTATGTATGTCAGCCGGATTCAATTCATTATGTTCCAAATTTAGCTCATTGAGGTTCTGCAGCGACTTGAATGTGTGTAACTCTATTTTCCGCAGTGAGGTGTTGCGCAGATTCAGATAAGTCAGTGGCAGTTCGTCCATAAAAATATCCTTTGTTAATTGCACCAAGGGATTATTCGATATATCGAGTACACGCAGATTCTTCAATTTGTTGAAACAATAGCTTTCGAGCGCTTCAATGTAGTTTTGTGAAAGATTCAGCTCTTCCAAGCTCACAAGTGGTGCAAAATATTCACGTCGCACATGTTTTAAACGATTTCCGCTCAAATCCATAAATTTTAAATGTTTTAGCGTACCAAATGTGTCCTTATCGATATCGCGTATGAGATTATTACTGAGGTACAGACGTCCCAGCAGTTGCAGATCGACAAACATGCTCTTATCTACTCTAGTGAGTTGATTATCGCGCAACCACATGATTTGTATGCGCTCTTGTTTGCGAAATGTGCGCGCGTGTATCTTGTGCAGCTCATTCTCCTCGAGTTGTATGGAGAGTAGCGATGAATTGGCTTTCTCATTCGGAAAGATGTCCTCCAACACCGTCAGGTGGTTATCCTGCAAATTTATGTGCTGCAAATTCGTGAGGCTTTGAAAGGCACCTGGCTCTATATCCTCTATATTGTTCTTTTGCACATGCAGCTCTTGTAGCGCCGGTAAAGGTTCGAATACGCCCTTCCTTATGCGTCGTATGCGATTGTTGTGTAGTCGTACTTCGCGTAAAAATTCCAACTTACGAAACATGCCGATTTCGAGATCTTGTATTTGATTGTTGTCCAGCGAGAGCGAGGTGAGTTTCTGACACTTGTCGAAGAGCGTAACAGGCACTAACGGTATGAAATTGGAACGCAAATATAAGTGATCCAAATTCACCAATGTGCTGAAGACATTCGGATCAATGTGTGCTATGGCATTCGCTTCCAAGTAAATAACATCCACATTGGACGAATTCGTAAAAGCATCCGCCGGCAACTCGAGTATATTATTCTCCGAGAGAAAGACTTCACGCAGCTGTGGCAGGTTGGAGAAAACACCGCTGATTGAATGTATGTGATTGTGACTGAGATCCACTGTCTGTAGACGTTTATTTTTATCGAAAATTTTCGCATCCAAAGAGATAATGCGATTGTGTGACATATCCAGCGACATGAGTTCTTTTAAACTCTTGAACGCATCCGGTTGTACGAGTTCAATATGATTGGCGTAGAGAGAGAGTGTTTTCAGTTGTGGGAAAGCGTTAAAACAATCGTTAACAATTTCCGTAAATTGATTCGAACTCAAATCCAGAAAGATCAGTGAGGGTAGACGAAGCACTGTTGCAGCTGCTGAGGCATTATTCGTCGCAAGCGTTATGTCGCCGTAGAATGTAGAGACTTTGTTATTCGATAAACGCAATGTACGCAAATAGTCAAGTTTACGCAATGAGAGCAGCGGGAAAGTGCGCAGTGCGTTCTCCGATAAATCGATCTCTTGCATTGATTCCTCCAAGCCAACAAACGCGTGTTCGGGTATCGATTGTAATTGATTACCTTTCATGTTGAGCTTCGATAAGCGCAGCCCATAGAAGCTGTAGTCGTCGATGCGCACAATTTCATTGTAATCGAAATCGAGAGCGTTCAATTTTTGCATCGTGTTGAGAGCGCGCGATGGTATCTGTGAAGGAAAGGGGGAAGATATATAAATTATTGAAAGTTGTTAGTAGTAAAATACAAATAATGTGGTACTTGTATATGTATGTAAGGTTTTTCTATTGGATTTCTTTTGGTCAAATTCTATGAAATTGAGTTAGTTCGCCGACAGGGTGAGCTTGTAAATATTATCCAACTTCTATACTTTATAGAAGCCCTTCTGATGTCACTCTGAGGAAAGACTGATGCCAGGGAGTAACAAGACAACTAAAAAGGAAATCAATCTGGACTTAAGCCTCACCGATACCGACGTACCTGAGAGCATCACCTGCGGCGCACAGCGTCACCTTCGGTGCATGTATATAGACATCGCTAGTCTGGTGGCCGGCACTCGATAACATCACCTTTGGCAACAAATTAGAGAGAGTTCAACGATCGGAATACATCCTGATAACGGGAGCTTTGCCATCAACTTCATCGAAAGTAATGCTAACTCTTCTCAACCTTCTTCCTCTGGAGCTATACTGGAAACTATAATCGGGTTGCAACGCAAAAAGATTGAATGCAACTCAACCTTGGAAGATTTGCAGTATAGGACATACAAAAATATTATCTCTTAAAGAAGTACCAAAGGAGCTAAACTATTCCACCCCCGTTGTATGCTTCGATAACCTTTTCTCCATAAGAAACCCAAACATGTGAGCAGAAAAAACTCCAACGTCCCCGACCAGGGAGCAATAGCCATCTTCACAGAAAGCTCGAAGCTCGATGGGAGGGTGGGTTGAGGAATTTATTCTCCCGTGCTTTCAGTAAGCAGGAGCATGAGAATACTGGATCATTGCAGCGTTTTCCAGGCGAAACTCTTCGCAATCATGGAGGCTGCTGATTAGTTGCATAAACCTACGGCAGCAGGACAATCGGTTACAATTTACTCCGATTGTCAGGCTGCAATCAGATCCCTTCAATGTAACGGTAACACGTCAAAAGTGACCATAAACTGTAGAAACACTCTCAGTAAACTCTCAACGAAGTACAGTTCTGCCGCGGTCTGGGTACCTGAACACAGGAACATCCTAGGCAATTGCATGGCAGATGAACTAGCAAGGGAAGGAACCCTTCTATCTACGATAAAAAAACCTCTGTCCACGGCTAAGTTTCCACCTATCCTACTTCGAGCACTCTTTGTGGTGGGAATAATGATCGGAATCTACGATTTTCCGCCTGCAGTCGAAGTTGATAAACTGGAGACTTCTGAGACTGATCAGATGGGTTATACCATGATTTTCAATGGTGTAACCCAACAGTCGATGTAATTTTCATTAAGACGATTTTGTGAAAGTTGGCTTGGGAGCATATCTCAGATTGCAAGTTATTTGGACCTAGCATGTTTGGTCTGTAGAGGTCCTTGGATAGCTTCTTGGTGGCTTAAAGACTTTGCGCAAATTAGGTACCTAAACATATACCTGATCAAACGCACTTAGGCCTATTGTGGCGTAGTGAACTCTATGCCTAAGAAGTTTAATCACGCCTGCAGATGAAAGCTTTGCAAGGCAATCAAAGCAGAAATTTCCACGCAAACTATAATGAACAGAACTGGCAGCTGTGCAGTGAGAGAGATAATATTCCACCGATTCCTCCTCTTCTATGCCGCTATAGCTACGGCTCGTTTGAGAAACAGCCAATTATACTGTCAACAGTCCCCAAAAGCCAGTGCCCGGTTATAACGTTGATTGTTGTGCTTATGTAGAGGTCCGGCTTAGAAGGAGTAGAGATTTAGTTCTATGTATCTCAATTAGTGGTCATATTTGTATTATCACATTACATGTATTTTTGCTCTGCCATCTGCCTTTGGCCCTTGTGGTGAAGTCTAGTCCAAGCAGATATTTTGCCGAGGAAAGCGGTATGTCTATGCCATGTGCAGAGTTCACCGTCGTTAGTAGACTGTTTCCTTTTTGGGAAGTTCGTCGGATTCTCTGTTTCCTGGGATGCCCCTGTAAACAGGGACCCAAACTACGGGCATTTCTCACACAGTCAAAAATTTGTTGAAGAGCTCTCTGCATTCTATTACCACCATATTGTATGATTGCAATCGATGAGGCTTAATGGTAGCCTGGTGGTGAGTATAGGTTATGGAATTAGAAACGAGCAACCGGTCTAGCGGTTGGCTGCGGATCTATGATCTAGAATTGCTACAATTTCCCACTCGTTCCCCTCAAGAACTTTTGTTGAGTACATATTGTCAAGATAGAAGACGGAAGTGTTGTTGTCCACCGAGAGTTTCAGTCTTCCGTGTGTGGTGTAGAGCTTAGTATTTGGCCGTGTCTTATGGTATTTCGCTATGGTCTTTTGGCTTTGCAACACGTATAGGGATTTGCGGTATAGAATATTAAGGAGAATTTTAAGGGCTTTCATGTAAGTTGAGGGTAGTGTTCCCATAATAAATGTAGTGGTCGTCCGCTAGACTTTCACCGGCATGCTTCTATAAGTACCCTTGTCTACTGCTGGCCACCTGTAACACCTTTCTATCGCTTACAAGGTCCAGGTGAGTTTAATGTCTAAGATTATGCCTAGATATATTTAACCCGGTAGGAAGCGATTTCTGTGCATTTGAGTAAGGATGCTTTGAAGGAAGTTGATGCATAGTCATATTTCATTTTTGAAATATTTTCATTTAACTTTCAATCAAACAGATTTCACCAAATGAAAACAACACCATTAAGGTCGCTATATTTTTATTTGCTTTCCCTTAATATAAGTTCGCACGCGGCTTGAAAGCAAAAATAAAGTCGTCAAGTGCATAAATAATGCAAAAATTTTCGATTGACTTTTGAAGCTGAAAAAATAAGTATTGAACTCGTTCTGACCGACTTATTGTTATTCGTCAATGGAGCACCATTTATAGCAGGCATTAAGCTTTATTGATTCCTTGCGACTGCGTCAACCTTTATTTGTACATTTGTATTGACTTAACCGAATTGAGTGTGACTTTTTCCGGTTTAATTAAAATTGCATAAAAATACGCGCCAAAAGACTTATGCACACACACACTTGTATATACTTATGCACACACATACATGTACATACTTATGTTTCAAAAAATTACCTAGTGGTCGGTAGGAAATTTTATGTGTGGTTTGAAGGAAAAGTGGTTTTTAGAGAGAAGTTATACCAACAACAAGCGAGTTAGAATGGCATAAAGTTATACCTTTCGTACAGGGTTGTATTTTGACAACTGTCAAACTTAACTGTCAAAGCAAACTTGTTTTGTTTTAGATAAAATTTAGGCTTTTATGAAAATGGATCGCTTAGCAAGCGCACAAAATTTTAAAATTGATAAAAAACATTCTAAAAAAACGTGGATCCAAATGTAGCCACATTTTGTGCTTTAAGCGGAGATTACGTTGTACCTAATCAAGTAATTTTAAAGCTATCTGAAGAGACTAATTCGGCCATGGTTCGGTTTTAAGAGCTGTGCAATATCGTCTTCCCCGTTTCACCTCAAATATCGCTGCTGCAAGTGAAAGCGTAGTCGAAGACGCGTATTTTTGTATTTCTAAATGTCTTCAAGAGTTGGTAATTCTGCATTGAGGCATATTCTGCGCTTGGCTATATACCAACATCCATAAAAAGGTGAGCTCACACAACAACAGAAGTCAGCTGATCATACTCAACGGCGTACATACGTCGATTCGGTGCTGGAGCCCAAGCAGTGGATGACGATTTTTTGAATGAAATTTTCGCCAGTGACGAGGCGCATTTTCCATTCGATGGATACGTAAATAAGCAAAATTACTCCATTTATGGCTCCAAGAATCCTCAAATAATTAAAGAGATCTCTCTTTACAGCAAAAAAAAAAAAAACCTACTGTCTGGTGCGATCTTTAGTCTGGAGGTGCGGTCTTTAGTCAGGAGGTGCGGTTGAACATTACTTTTTTGGAAAAAGACAGACGAGTCTATCAACTATCAATTCGATCGGGTTCTACGGTCGTATGATAGCCGAATTGACGAACCCTGCTGGAACAATATGTGGCTTCAACAAGTTACTTCCAAAAGCCTCATAACACGAGCGAATATGATTTTATGGCGAGCGAAAATTTCACGGTCGTGTATTCTCTCGTATTGGCCACGTCAATGGGTCACCGTGATCGTTTGATTTGATATCGTTAGCCTACTTGACTTGTGGGTCTACGCAAAGTAACGTGCTCTTATGTGTATAAAATTTTAACTCTCGAGCACTTGAGAACCAAGATGCGTCTAGTTATGGCTGAGATACAATCCAATATGTGTCGAAAAGTGTTCGAAAATTACCTCAAAGATATCAAAGTTTGACAAAATCTGCCAAGCGTTCATTTGAATGAGAAATTAGCAAAGCTCAAATTTTATCACAAAAAAAGGAATTTCATGCAAAAATAAAAATTTTTTTATGACATTTTATTTAAGTTTTTTTTCGAAACCACAAAATGGATAACTCTGTAGATAGATATTGAGCGTTTTATTTTTACGAACAATTTTAAAAGGTTTTTTTTTACGAAACTGACCCAATAACAGTCGACAATACCTAACTGTACTTGTGAAGATTAATTGCAATCTCTAGGGGGCTATTCCCACTGGTATATATTATATATGTATGAGTAAATAAACTCAGATATGTAGATACTCTTCTACACTGCTACACATATGACACTACCATATGACAGGGGCAAAAATTGCGATTCGTGATTAACAAACAAAAACGAATTGAGTGTAAATATTTTGGGAAATCAACAATTGACTCAACGCTGCGCTTTTACATGGATCAGTCCTTTGTGAAAGCACACACACACCTGTACATACATACAAACAATACAAATATGCGGTGAAGTACCGCAGAGTAGTTTATATACAATAAAAAAAACGGAAAAAAATATATACATATAAAAAATGCTATATGAAATGTTTATTGGCTTTATGCCCACAGTTTTTGCGCAACAGTTTATGCCGCGGCTTCAAAAAAATTTAATTCAACTGAAACTAATTCGATATAAT